TGCAACCTATCCAAGGCATCGAGTAAGTACTTAGCGGAGCCATCCCAGAGGTGCGAGCAATATTCCACGCAGGACCGCACTTGCGTTTTGTACAACAAGCACAGTTGATCGGGCGTGAAAAAACGCCGCACCTTGTTCAGGACTCCGAGTTTGCGTGAAGCTGCTTTGATCAAGGTCTCGATGTAGTCCTTTGAATTCAGGTCTGAGCGAACCTCCATACCGAGCATGGTAATATAGCTCTGTAGCGCCAGTGTTGTGCCCTGAAGAGAGGGAAGGGGAAGGAATGGCGATGTTTTTGCCATGAAAGCGCAAGCCTGAGTTTTCTTGGCATGGAACTCAACCAAGTTCCTGGCACCCCATTCGGAAATGTGGTCCAAAGCCCGATTGAGCTCAACGACAAGATTCTCCCGTTTCTCCATGGTTTCTACCTTTCCAGCCGCCGCGTGTCCAAAGTATCTCGCATGCACTGTGCTATCGTCTGCATAGCAATGAATATTCGCAAGTGGAATCAAATCATTGATATGCAGCAGAAAGAGTGTGGGGGATAGAACGGAGCCCTGAGGAACACCGGCATTCACTGATATGAACTGTGAACTACATCCGTCCGTAAGGACGCGAATTCTACGCTCATGCAGGAAGTCAGCTACCCAGGCGCAGAGCTGAGCAGGCAGACCGTATGCGGGCAGCTTGGAGAGAAGGCTTTTGTGCCAGACCCTGTCCAAAGGCTTGGCGATGTCAAGGCTAATAGCCAGAGACTCTCCCCGCTTGTCTATAGCTTCACCCCATATGTGTGTCACGTACGCTAGAAGGTCACCCGTCGATCGATTCGGTCTAAATCCGTATTGACGATCGTGAATCAGAGAGTAATCTTCTAGGTAGCGGGTCAGATGGTTGTTAAGGACCCTTTCTAAGACTTTACACAACACTGAGGTGACAGCTATCGGCCGATAGTTGGCCGGGTCTGAGCGGTCCCCTTTTTTGGGCACCGGCTGCACATTGGCGTCTCTCCAAGCTTCCGGCACACGCCCCAAAGAGTAAGAGAGTTGGTACAGGCGCACAATGTTTAAGAACAACTGCTGGGATGCCATCAGGTCCACTAGCTTTCCGGACGTCGAGTGATTGCAACTCCGCACGAACATCACGCTGCCTGATTTTAATGTCAGGCATCGTAGTGTCCAAGGCAAGAGCTTAACCAACAAATCGGCTTTCTCTTGCGGCTAATGAGCTAGTGACCCATCTGGACATCGCAGAGGTGGCAGCGAGGGCTGGCAAAAGTTGTGTTGCACGGCCTTAGCCAAACGCCAAAAACTACGGGAGCCCGTAGGGTGCGTTAACAATTCGTGGCCAGTAAGTGCTACACATTGGGCATCCGCTCTGATGTAAGCCTTCTTACAAGACTTGGAAGCACTATTATAGGCAGCTTTCAGTGAGTTAACCCCGGGATCCTTAAGAGCGCGGCCTCTGATCTAAGCGCGATATGCCGCCTGCTTACGAGAAACAGCATCGGCACAATCGCGATTGAACCAGCGGTTACGTGTGCCCTTACTGATGAGATCAGAATGTGGAATGTAATACTCCATTCCCATTACGATCTCCTCAGCAATGGCAACGGCGCTGGATGATAGGTCCTTTTCATTGAAGCAGCGCTGCTTCCAAGGGACGGACGCAAAGTAATCGCGCATACCATCCCAATCTGCCGACCCATAGTGCCAGACCCTGCGTTTGACCACTAATGGTCGAGGGGTTTTGGCCTGTGGCACCTTGACAGATATCAGGCAATGGTCTGATGAACCCAGCGGGGCTCGAACCACGACCTGATACTCCTGCGGATGGGTCGTAAGCAGAAGGTCTAGTAAAGAAGGCGCTTGACTTGCTATATCTGGGATCCTGGTGGGCTGATCAACCAGTTGGGTCAAGTCATGCGTGAGAGTGAAAGCATGGGCAGAGATCCCTGCATGGTCAGTTTTGGAAGAGCCAAGCCACAAACCGTGGTGGGCGTTAAAGTCTCCCAAAAACACCAGTTCTGCGTTGGGAAATTGCGCCTGGGCATCATCTGCTACCCTACTGAGGTGGTCAAACAGTCGAGTTGTCTCAGCGTCGCCGGTGTGAGATCTGTAGAGGCACACGTAGACTCTGGCCTGAAGACCAGAGTCTACATGTACCGCCAACATGGAAAAGGAGGGGTCTTCCAGGCAGCTCAAACGGCGACAACAAACATCCGCCCGAACATACAGGCATACGCCGGCTTTTGCTTTGAAGGATTCTTCAAGTGCGTAGCCGGGATATTTAAGGTAGCCTGTGTCAGCGGGCGGAAGTATTTGTGTCTCCGTGAGAAACAATAGTGCTGACCGTGCTGTCTCAAGATGGTGGTGGACAGCATTGAGGTTAGAGTGGAGTCCGCGTATATTACAGAACTCAACCTCAAACAGCGCGGAAGGCGGGGGGGTGTGCACCGCTGTACAACCAAACTTTATTTTACGGGCTGCCATCATGAGAAAAAAGTTGAGAGACGTGAATCGAGTGGAGTTAGTCGCGACAAAGACAGGCAAATATATGGAGGCACGTTTTCCCGAGTAACTGCCTGCGAAAGAGATAACGCCGACCCAACGGACGGAAGGGCCCCCGCACCCTCCCGGGAGTGGCCGCCGGGACCCCACGCCCCGGTCACCAACCGGCACGACGGTCCACCCCGAGATTATGCGTGACATGATGGGGCAGCCTCACGAACTGGTTAGGAACGCTCGGGCCCCTGTACTGTGCCACGGGCGGCCAGCGGGACAGCCGTTTCTACGGGTCTCCCTGGCCGGTGGGTCGATGCAGTCCTCCCGGCATCGGTTCGACGGATGCCTCCACTGGACCGAATCTGTCGCGGCAATCTCCACTCGAGCTCTGGTTGTACGCTGATCCCGAAACGCGCGTGAAGCACTTCACGGGTTTTTCACCATGCGTACGGTGGTAACAAACCAGGCGGGTGTTGGGCACCCTACCACCAGAAGAGCAGATGGAAGCTCTGATATCCCTCAGTCGCTTCTTACGACACCCGCGGGAAGTGAAGGGGCGGTGAGTGGTATTCTTTCTCCGTCACCGCACGGATAAAAAAAAGTTTGAATGGCTGAGAATCATTCGCTGTTGTAACCAACGCTTCATTCACATTCTCCTTTTTGTTGTTTTTCGTCATCCATTGCACACAAAACTATGAAGGCAAAGCCCACATTTTGAAATTTAGACAAATTTGTAGCCATTTCTACAACACGGTTACTAATACAGTCCGCGCATGATACAAGTGCATACGTGTTTTTACGCCAGAAGACGGCTCGCGATTGCGTGTTGGCGCGTGGATTACATCCGTGTAGCCGAAAATCATACCGCGGATGGAAACCAACTTCCCACCAAGGTGTGGTTGGAACGCTGGATTGCATCCGTCTAGAATAGACGTAAATTGGAAGCGATCAACGAAACAAGCGAAACAAGCGAATGGGAAAGTGAATATCAGACTACCGGCTTGCTTTAGTCAATATTGATTTATATTTATTAAATAATAAGATCTCAGTGTTGAGTTGTGAAGTTTCTGAGTGTGTCTCCATTCATCATCTAATGAAAATGGACATCAGAATGTAATTTGGTAAGTTATGAACTACTCTAATCTTGGACTTGGTGCTAGTATTTTTATTTTATTTCTCTAGCTAATAGCTTTGGTAACGGATATACTAGCTAGAGACGTATAATAATCGTTAAGAATATCATTTTTTATTATATCTGGCATATTTTTGATGTGGAAAGAAAGGATCGATTATGTGGAAGGGAAATGTTAAGAAACACTATTATTTTATTAAAAATGAGTTTATTGATTCAATCTCTATGAATTTAACGTTAACTAAACAGTGGTTTCGTTTTCAGTAATTAATTATAAAAACAAAACATAAATTATATTTGTGGTTTAATTAAACACAAATTAAAACAGATCCTTGATATAAATAAAGCTAAAAAATACAACTGAGTATTTATTTAATATTTATAAGTAATTGCACAAAACTGCTCTTCCGTAAAATTTTTATTAATTATATAAAGTTTTATCAAAGCGTTTGGTTTTGCATGAAGTTTGAAACGAAAAAAAAATTGATAGATTATGACGTAGCGACAGCGATGAACAGGTCAAAGTAACGACAATATCGCATGTATCTTCATCGGTCATCACAACCACAACAGGTTATATTCAGCCACAGGAACTACCTAGACATACAAAGTTACTCTATGACCAAGACCAAGTTCTTCTAGATATCTGGCGCCGAATCCTGATTCATTGATGGATGACTGCTATGAAAATGATATCGGGCGATATGTTAGACGGGCACACATGTTGACGGGCAATCGAAAAGAAGAAAGAATTGATTGAAAATTGTTGGTTTTTCCGCGACCTATAACTTTGCGGAAGATGCAAAAGATTTAAAGAGAAAATTTAATTATTCTTGGTTGGAAACATACTCTCCATGGTTGGTCAAATTCCAGGCGTCATAAAGGAGCATTTTGTAAATATTGTATGTTGTTCTCACCAAATTCGTGATGCGATATTTTGATGAAGAAACACAGGAAGTCCAAGAAATGTCGGATTCATTGAGCTAAAAGATTTGGATGCCTCATTGCGCTCAGGATTCTACTTAGAATCCATCGAATCCTTCGCGCGGCTCAAAAAACGCTCTCTCCTTTAAAGTAACGTAGTTCTTTGCTCCCTTAGCAAACAATCTACTATTTATTATTAAATAATATTACAATATATATAAAAACACCGTCGACTGCCTTCACCGTCCGTGATGATTGGACACGGCAATTGTTGTCTCATAATATTACGCGTGCCTATTGTCAACGAAGTCTAGCACGACGTCAGTAGGTAATGCTCCCAGTGTCAGAGGATCAAAGGAGAAAGCTGTCAGTGGAGGTCGACAACGAAGGAGGAGGAGGTCCGCTGATTGCGCCGGCGCACCGTGGCGGCCGCCAGTGCGTGCGCGGCGGTGAAAGGCGCCATGTCGATAGTACGAGTGAACGGTGCGCTAACCATGGCCGGCATACCTTATACGCCGATCCTACTCATTGGTGCCATTTTCGGAAACGGTTAGTGCAGAAATAGTATTTTTATTTTTTTACATAAAAAAGAAGAAGTATAGCAGTGTCCTATCATGTGCCCCATTAAAAAAACCTTGCGTGACTGTGTTCGCAATTTAAAAATGCAATGTAACAGACGCGTAATTCGTAGGTAATCTTATGCAAGTAAATGCGCGGATCAATTTGTTAACGTAACTGTTACCGCAAAATATAGTGAAAGCTATTCGCATGTTAGATTCGAGTTTGACGGATAGGTGTGTGGTCATAACGCTGCTAAACGTGAAAGTGTGGGAAAAATTCACTGCATTGATTGTGCTCATAACTTTACTATTTTCTGTGTATTTGTTTACTTGCTTAATTAGAAACCAGGCGGTTCATGACTTCAAAACTGAGAGCTTAATTGCAATTCTACGCGCACGTCCTTTCCTTCACTTGACATTGAAGGTGTATGACCGGTTGGTGGGATTGAGGATATTGACTTGACTACCTGTTTAAGTTATAAATAACCGTTAAAATAAATGCTCAAATACCTAGGTATCCACTTAGACAGTTCACGCTGAAGAGACAAGAAAAGTATCAAATTATGGTAGAATTTGCAAATTAAATGTGACGATGCTCCTAGAAGAATTTCAATATCTATTTGTTTGGTCAAACTTTTTGTGAATTATGTAATGTAGAATGTCATACTTCCAGATTATGTATTATTGACGATTACATAATAATGTTAATGTATGAAATAAAGAGCGGAGGTTCATCACAATTTCATGTGCAACAAAATACAATATTTCGCTTGAATACGTACTTACTCATGTATATTTCCCGGCTAGGCATTATAGTTCCGTAGTATAGCCTTGTCAATTGGCGGATATAACTTCACAATTATGAGAACTTTAGAAGGTAAAGATGACAATTAAGATTTTTCTCTAAATTTTATTGCAATTAGGAATTAATCTTGAGAATTGAACATGATTTGTAATGGTGTAAACAATAACATTATCAAGATATATTTTCTCATACATATTTTACATCCATTAATTTATGAACGGCACGACTATGAGACTTTATGAGAGTGCAATTTATTTTAATTTTCACAAAAATTACTTACAAACATTGTCCTGGCAATCACGAACACAGCAAAACTACTTACAAGTCAGAATATCCAAATCCAAAATTTGCCTAGGTATACACTTAATAGAGATAATTTTCTTCATTTAATCACAATCTGACAAGATGCTCAGAACGGAAATCGGGTAAAATTTTGCAATAATTCTTATTAGATTCTGAGAATTCATCACTGATAATAATTTAATGACGATAATGGTCCTTATTCTATTAGGATACCCTAAACTTAAAACTTGAAAACAAGTCCTTGTTTTAATTTTCAAGCATGATGCATGAAATTTGGGAGGAGCTCGCCAAACTTCGATGAATACATCGGCGGCTAAGGGCGGAAATTAGCTTTTAGTTTAAGAAGATTCTTCAATTGACTTGTGCAATTTAGGGTGGGGGTCATGTATCCTGTGACCTCCCGCTCCCTTACGACCGCGCTTGGATAAGGATGTACCAAATTCCTGCTGTATAAGGTTTAGTAATAACATGGTTGATGACTTTTCTGTAAAAGGCCTCCCTTTCCCTGGAATCACCGCTACAGTTTGTACACCTCCAGAAAGTAGTGGTCTGCCATTACCTCATTCTCTATCGCTCAAAGCTCATTCGCTTAAAAGTGGTGGTTCACCAACTTCTCTCACTATACATGAGATAAGTCGGTACAATCTGTTTTCGAATAAGATTCAATTTCGTTTAAAATCCCCGTTATTAATTATCACAGTGTTTTCGTCAAAAGCAATTTCTATTCATGTCCGGGTGTGCTATTCGTGGACTTTCGACAGGAATGTGATTCTATCGCGCATATCGATACTCACTCAAGAGGTCGTTTAGAATGCAAAATGTTAAGTTCAATAAAGGTAGAATGGGAGAAGTTTGTTAGGTATCATTTTAATAGTAAATAGATGTTTAAAGTGAAGGGATATTCGATGCTTAACTTCCGTAGGTACCTGCTGTAACAAGAATTAATTCAAGCTTGCTAATTCGAAGCTTAACAGTTAAGATAAGATTAATAATTCTCTTGGGACGTTTTATGGGTTGCCCGTTGTTGTGGTTAGCGTGTACGAACGAAAGAGTTGGTCTGTCATGCCTAGCTGTAAAGAATAATTATCTACTTAAAAGTTTACCACTTATAAAAGATTGAAATCAGTACGGGTATTGTCTTTTAACAATACCGGAGTGAATTGTGCGTTGATATAATGATTTTCTTCGGTTATCCCTCTCAAGGTATCCCTATCTTACCTATCTTATGATATCAGGGAGAGATATAGTAGATTTCCCATTAAAATATAAGCGTCGGACATGGGAAGTAATGTTCAATTCACAGGACGCATCCTTAGAATAAATGTGAACTAACTTAAAAAAAAAAATAGATTTAGAATATTTAAAGTTTGCTACAAAATGAGTTTAACAAAAATTAAAACCAACTTAATAAAAAAACCGGCCAAGTGCGAGTCAGACTCGCGCACCGAGGGTTCCGTACAAACCTGTAGGTATATAATAATTATTAAAAAAATATATATGTGCAAAAAATTTACGGTTTTCGCAATTTTCCTTTATATGTGCTATAATAATACGTTGCTTCGTACCAAATTTCAAGCTACTGAGTTCACGGGAAGTACTTTGTAGGTATTGATTCCCTTGAGAGTTTCGAAAATTTGCGGAAATTGCGGCACAAACGGCTGTATCTTTTGATTGTGTTGGCTTAGAAGTTTGATTTTTTTTTACAGCTCCAAAGGAAAGTAGACTTGAGTATTTGATATAAATTTCTGCTTGATACCTGCACGAGATCCTGAGAAAAAGGGTCTTGATTGACGGACGGACAACAAAGTGATCCTAGAAGGGTTCCGTTTTTTCCTTTCGTGGTATGGAACCCCAAAATAATAACAATATATAAAAATAATGCATTCAGATAACGTTTCTATGGGTGGTCCCATAGAATGAAAATGAAAATTTGAATGTATTATCTTTTGGTAGTATAACCTTGCTATTGCCAAAGTAATTATGGAAATCGCCCCATAATTTAACGGAGAAATCAAGTAACAAACATACAAAAGTATTGATAACCTGTTCCTTTTGGAAGTCTGTTGAAAAGAATTCTCTGCAATATTGTGGAGTTAAAGAAACCGATCAAAATTTTTTGACTTGGCTCACTTTCATTATGTGCTTGCGAGAAGAACAAAGTGAAATAACACTACCTTTTGGTGGCATTGCATTTCTGGCTTTGAGTAACATTTTCAGGGTTCCAATCCATAGGGTAGGGCCACCCTCTACCCTGATTAAAAGGTGAGGTTAAGCAACACGCGATCATAATTTTGTACAGCAAGCGAGATATAGTAGCTGCTTCCTAACTTACGCTTGCTAGCTGGACCATGCACTTGCGAAGGAACACCTTATAGTATAGTAAATATAATTAAGGCTTGTTAATTTTGATCTTACATATTGAATAACTACGAGTATATCTAATAACATATCGTGTGTTTTAATAGAGGGAACGAATGGAATGATTTGGTAATTATAAACAATCATTCTTTGCGAGAATGCGAGGTTTTTTATTTGGAGAAAATATTAACGGGAAATTCAACTCGGCTAACAGGGACTTATGATATATATATTAATTGTTTTCCACGGTTCTATTAATTTTATAGTTAAGATCGGGTTATGTTAAGTTACACTGATGCTGTTCTTAAGCTTTGAAGGGATAAGCGACATAGAAAAAATAATAATCAATTTTTTGTTTTTAAATTACATGACTAGTTAGTCCCTTGGCTGGATCCGAATCAGCAACCTTCGCCATTTGAGAAAATGCATACAATCATTGTCTTTATTACTTGTATCATGTTTTCATTATACAACCAATAGATTTAAGTAGTACACAATCAAACAAATTAAATGTTTCATACGCAAGTGTTTATATATTTTTGACTTTTACTTACACCGGTTACCGAACGTTAAGGTCATGATTATGTCAGGTGGGTACGAGGAAGATCGTGACTTCCTTTGGTAACGAATTTGGAATAACGTGTCGAGCCATGAATCATTCCTAATTGAAGAAATGGGGAAGCGATTTCAATACACTTTCACTTTCAGTGAAATATTAATAAAAGAAGCCTTACACAACTGATAGGCAGTTCATAATTAAAGGTCGGAACTCATTTACATTTGATAGGAAACAGATCTGCACCACCTCAACTCGAACCCGTCGTTCAAATAACCTATTTTTTGATCACTCGTTTCAAATTGCAATTTTGGACTCGAAATCACACTCGACACCCACGCTACGTCGCATGGCGCGGTTTTTCTGTATTTTCGGACGCTTGTATGAGTGCTGTTAGCATAATGCAAATAGGGATGACGACTATTTTTTTTTCTTCGTTTATCAGGTAGATTATCAAAAAGTATCGACACGTATTTTTTCTTCTTTCACATAATATAAACATTGCAGAGTTATATTGATTTGAAAAGTCGCATGACGTCACGTTTTACAATTAAACAAGTACAACTTTCACTCAAAAGTGACGTCACGAGCCCCTCCTCCCAAACTTTGACGCGCTATAACTTTGTCATTTTTTGGTTGATTGCCCAAAGAAAAAATATTTTTTGATCATCTAACTGATGGACTAAATAGAATTTCGTTTACTTTACCCCGTCATCACCCCTATTATTGATTAACATAGAGAAAAACATAAATAGGCACAGATATGTTAGGCACAGATATGTTATTGCAACGAAATCTAGACGGGTTGTCATAGAAAAAAAGAGTAACTGCTTGATTTTTTGACCTTTACCCTATCACTCGATTAGAACGTTCGACTAGCGGCGTGTAGTTGACAGCACTCGATGAAGACGAGCGATACAAAAATAGGACCCCATTATTCTTTGAATGAAATTCTATGCTGCATTGAACATTAATCAGCACCGGAAACGGATCAGCAGCGTATCGCCTTCCACCTCAAGGCGATGCGGTGTTAAGGATCTACAATGGCGACATTGGATGAAACACCTAAAATAAGTTTCATATCTAAATTCATCATTGAGAAAAACTAAAGAAGTATCATCTGCAAAAAGCACTGTGACACAAACAATTACATATTCCTTCCACCTCAAGGCGATACGGTGTTAAGGATCTACAATGGCGACATTGGATGAAACACCTAAAATAAGTTTCATATCTAAATTCATCATTGAGAAAAACTAAAGAAGTATCATCTGCAAAAAGCACTGTGACACAAACAATTACATATTAGCTTAATATGGAAGATAATTAATGTAAATTAGAAACAACAATGGCTCCAGCAGACTCGGTTTTATTACTGACAACTTTTTGCACTCGATCAGATAGATATGATTTGATAAAGCGAACTGATTTAACAGAGACACAATAATGTACCACTTATTAAAATAAAGTTTCATTACTAACGCAAACGAAAGCTTTGGAAAGATCAATTTCATTTTTCTTATTCTCCCAGGCGTGAAAAATGTGTTTCATAAATGTATTTCCAGCATTAGTAGGGGATTTGCCTTTGGTGAAGCCAAACTGGTTGTGACGTAACAGATTATTTTCTAAAAAGTAGGATGACAACTGTGTATAAATAAATTTTCAAAAATTTTACTTTATGCTGGTAATATAGAAATTGGTCTAAAGTTGGTGGGTCGTTTTTTCTCCAGAAAGGAAAAGGAAGGAAGGAATTAATTAAATAAACATTACAAGTCTGAAAAGATCCCCTCATCAATACTCATTTTACGAATTCTTCTAAAAATCTATCAAAATTGACATTAAATGTTCGTGAAATATCTTAACATTAAGCTTCGAAAAAAAGAACTATTTATGAACCATATGAATCATGTAATTAAGCTATTTTAAACCCCTTGATCCGTTTCTATCATAATATGCAGCAACCGTTATAACATAACGGATTAATTAAGTAAGTTTATATTCCTCGTGTCTCAATCACTCGAATATAACGGCAGTCGCCAATGTTGTTTATCTATCTGAAACTGTAACACCGTAAGATTTGTAAGTTGTGAGAATGAAAACAAGACGATTGTAAGTGCGATGAAAGTACCAAGTTCTAATTATAACTTAATTACTTCCAGTGAGGTGTCAGCAGAAGGATAAGGATGCTCCTGAGTTTGTTTGCCCGGAAGGCACGCAAGGCAACGGCAACTTCGCAGACCCGGCTACTTGCAGGCGCTTCTATCAAGTACGGTTCACGCCCCTACACTATCTTTAAATACTTTAAATGAATATACCCATTTACTTTTATATATCTCACACTCGCACCAATTAGCCTAGCACCAAAGTAAGCACTGTTAGGCTTGTTTTATGGGTTACTAGGGTACGAATATGGAATGATAAATAAATAAGTTGTTTCTTTTTAATTTACATAAACAACCATGGCAAAGGCAGGAATTCATCCTACAAACCTTAGCCCCACGCCCCTCGGGACTTGAATCCAGGACCTCTGAGAAGGCGACATCTTGAAAACATACCATTCCACCACAGAGCTCGTCGTATTTACCAATAAACTGTAGAAGTTTGCTATTGGCGGCTTAAGTACCTCAGAATAAAATAATAATAGTGCAATGTTGGACGCATTTCTCAAAGAAGTTTATTTCAAAATGTGTTATTACCACGCAAACACGTGTGTAATATCAAAATTGACCTATTTTATGCATGCTTACATAACATGCAACATCATTTGCGAAGTTTGTAGACATCATAACTGCGATGCAAGTTGATTGAAGAAAATAATTTTAAAGGGGTAGTTCATAACGGATTTTCCTCTCGAATTGAGAAATGTGAGTAGCTACTCCCGTTTAGTAGTGGAGTTGTGTTTCTGTCAGTGAGTAAGGTTTCAAGGCTCTAAGTTTTAGGGTGTTGAGTTTAGACCGGATCTGATTAGAGCAGCACACAATTTGTCTACTTAATTAACTATCTTCCCAACTGGACTCCACTTATATTTAACATCAGTACCCTTAGCACGAACCAATATCGGATTCAAATAGTTGAATTCAATCTCGATACGCAACAAAAGTCAAGAAGTTTTGTATGGAAATTTGAAGAGCGCCAAAACCGATGTAACGAGTATCAAAAATCTTCCATACAAAAAAAACTGTTTGACATTTGACGCGTATCGAGATAGAATTCGAATTCGATATTGGTTCGTGCTAAGGTTCCCTACAGTAGTGCTATTCTGTAAGAACAATTTCACTTTTCATCCGCAGTGTCATTTTAAATTAGAACACGAATTTTAAAGAAATTTTAAAGCACACCGGAGAATTTTGCGTAGAAAACTGAGTTTGTTTCGTACAGAATAGTCTACAGATGGGAGGGATAATAATTCTTGGCTTTGTTTATGAAAGCAATAGCGTTGACTTTAGTTTTGTTGAGAATCCCACAGGAACCTAGCATTTTTTTGAGACAAAAGTATCCTTTGTTTCAATCCAGGTCATAAACTAAATACCCACCAAATGTCATCCAAATCTGTTCAGTTGTTTTTCAGTGATTGAGTCATGGATGGCGCAATTGAATTTGGAAGCAATATTTACACTGGTATACGGGCCGGAAGACGGTGTCGGGTAAACAAAAGGAAACTAACCGAATACAAGCGTACTGGACTCCATTCATTTACACTTAGTCGTTTACCCGAATTCCATTGGCACTCGTATTCGGGCTCCCGACCAACTGTAATCGCGCCATAAGAAACATAAGAACCCCACAAATATACAGACTTTTACATTTATAATATTAGTAGGATAAGATATAACATATCAAAGATTTCGTAATTTCCAAGTAACAACTTGTATGGTAAAAATAGTGGGAGGACGCCAGCCCACCACCACCTTAAAGAAACTACCCTGTCCGATAATGGAATCATAAAGCTGATTTTTTGATCTCTTTTATCATAAAAGCTATTTTTAGCATTGCAGATGACAGTTTCATCTTAGAACCTAATGAAATCAGACATGTTCCATTTTGTAGAAATATGTATGACCATTGTGATTATATAAATTTGTAAGTCAAACATTATGAAACCCGAGCTTCCAGTGATTTGACTCCGAGAGCACGAACTCGACGTATTTTTTGTGTAATGCCAAGGCTGCGCTGTAATCTATTACTTTCAGTTCATCGGGGTAGTTACTTCTATTTTATGAACCCACTATTTTCACAAGCCCGTATGGATTGGATTCTTATTGCTATAGGCTGTTGGTTTTGATAAACGTTTTGATAAACGATCACAAAAATAATAAAAATACATATTGCTTACAATTTGTTAATATAAAAATATACTTCGCACATAACCTTTTTTGGTACAAATAATTTTGGCTTTTTTAGTTTGCGAGTACGTATCATAATCATATACTTAAATGTTGTACTAAAAGGAGGATGTTTATTGTCTCAATTAATTAGAACGTTTGATTTCACTTTTGAAAAGACCTTGAAAACAAAATAATATGAAGCTTAAATAAATGGCATTGAACATTTTTTTTAATTTAATAGTGAATAAGGCAGTGGACGCAAATTAATACGCACTGTTGACATTTAACTAGAACTACCGGTTTTTTACATGATTAGCAGGAATGACAAGTATTGCTCTGATGGTGTAAGCGTGTCGGTATGAATAATAAAAACCGGCCAAAATGCGCATAGCGCATTCAAAGGGTTTCTTATTATCGTATCAACTCTGGTACTTTAAACAGTACGTAAATAAACAGAATACACAAATAATAAAACGTTGCTAAGCTTCAACGGTAATTTGCCAGAAGTCTTTAATTAAATACTATTTTAATTTAATAACTACTGGCACCTTCAAGTGATTCACATTGCACTAGCTGTTCACTTAAACTTAGATTCTTCTTATTTATAAATAGATTGTAGTTACCTTTGCCTGGCAATAGAGACTAGTTAACATGATCGCGAACATATAGGTACAAACAAAAGCATTACAATTACTATTGGATCGGTTAAGCGTTTGTTTTTCTTGCGAGTATATTTATGCTTTTAGACAGTTGCTGTATTTGTATAGTTTTGATAGTAGTTTATTCTATTTTGAAGTTTCCGTTTAATGCTGATTTAAATCAAGGAAGAATAGAAAATAATCGTGAATCACGAAATCTACGAAAAAAATTAATGAAAACTCTTAGATTCCGTGGCGAAAGTCCACCATAGGTATAATACCTCAAAGAAATCAAAATGTGTGATTAACTTTGAAAATGCATGACCTTTTGAAAGTGAAGCCATTTTATTAAAATTAAAAAGTATTTCACAGCACTTCCCCCGGTTTGGGGTTTTTCGATCCGTTATACGTGAAAAATGAAAATATTATTCAAATTCGCACATATTAATATTATTTTATTTTTTCACTATTGGCCGCCAGCGATTTCATTCGCATCAACTTTAGTATTATGAATAGCTCAGGCAGGAACCTCACCTCTTTCCATCCTATGTCTCGTTTCAGGTTATAATCTGTCTGAGTGTAAAATTTCATCCAAATCCGTTTAGATGTTGTTATTGAGTAACAAATGTACAGACTCTAACATTTATACTATTAGTATGATTTAAAATGAGTATAAAAACTCATAGGATTCTTATGACACAAATACAATTTCACTTACCTTAAAGTAGATGCAAAAATGTTGTCTGGTCGTTGCTATCAGCATCTATTTTTGGGCGTATGTTCATTTCATTCCTAGTACTTACAAGTATAGAACCAGCCCTACCTAATATGCAAATATCTAACCCTTTGCTAGCTTAGATCTTTCGATCCTAATGCTGTCTCCGTCTTCTTTTTAGCAACCAAAAGAGACAGCATCACTTATATACCAGGTTTAACTTTAGTGAACGTTTTGTATTAAGGCAGATTATCTATATTGATGCACCTACATTAACACGTTGTGGTTATTATTATTATTTTTTAAGCATTTAATTGCTAGATATATAGATCACTGTGGTTTTAATGATTATCCGATTTAATAAATTTTATGGGATAAAAATTCTTTTAACGTTCCAATCGAAAAAAATCATGTGACTATCCTTTCCATTCCTTGATAAGGAAAGAATAAAAGAAACTATCAAATTGTTCCTAGAAACAACCAAATGCATGGCCGAGAAAGTCGAAATGTAGCGACATTAGGAATACTTTTAAACTTGATACTTTAAAAAAAATCATATTTATTCATTGCATATCACATTCACTGAAATAAGGTGGTACAGAAAAATACAGTTACCATGTGACGCCCTGCAAGGGCACAGCAACTTAGAGGGTTATTATCTATTCAAATACATTATTATACAATTGCACAATATAATTTATTAATTAAGATTCAATCATTCTACACATATTATGTGGCTGCCAATTCTTTTAATAGCCTATTACTTTAAGATTAAGACTCTGAATTTCGAAAAATAGTTACTTGCCTGGTACAATTTTGACATAGTGAATAAATCAGCCAAGTGAATATTTAGTGGAGAAGTGAGGATTTTATATTTTTATTTTTTCACATGGTTGAACCTCAATAGAGAATCTCATTGAGGAGTTGTATGGCGCAGGTGGCTAGCGCGTTCGGCTGCAATCGTTGAAGTTGAGCAACTTTCGTAATGGTCGGTAATTGGATCGTTGACCAAAAATCTTCTATCTTGATTTCCTCCGTACTTTGGAAGGCACTTTAAGCCGTTGGTCCCGTCTGCATCTGCAGTAACGACTGCGGCTTAAAGTGCACCCGCCAGTCCGCACTGGGCCCGCGTGGTGTGTCATGGCCCAATCTCCCTATTCCATCCATAGGGAAGGCCTGCACCCCAGCAGTGGGGACATTAATAGGCTGATGATGATGAACCTCAAAATATAATATCATCGTTGGGTTCAACAATATTGAATAAAAATATATATATATATATGTATAAAAAAACTCCCGAGTCAGTGAAAAAATTATGAATAAAAACTGATTTATTAACAGCCTTTACAAAACGGGGGAGGTTATCATATTGAAGATGTAAATAAGTTAAGTGGATTGTAAATTTTGATTACCTTTGAGTATTAATGAATTAAGAAAATTAAATTGAACTCAACACAACGTTGTCGAGCTCACATGTTTCTAAACATGATTCTAATCAGATTTGGCGATAACTTTCCAACATTGAATAGCTTCACTGTGTTTGAAATTCAAAAGCCTCTTCAGTGAACCATAAAGATAAGGAAATAAG